TGCAAATTCATATAAAAGTCATTTACATACTCGTATATGTATATTATATTATTTTCTTACTTTTGAGTTTTAATTTTATTAATTGAATTTTTTTAAATTACTTGATTAAAATTTTTGCTATTAATTTCTAATATTTTGCTCACTAGTCAGTTTTATTATTTGATCTCAAAATTAATTACAAGGAATTTAACAATTTTTTTCTCATTGTCTTTTATTTTATTAAATTGTAATTTTATACCTTTCCTACTCCAGCCACATCAGAGAGTTTATTTCCGTAGCCACTAGTAATTGCATGTAACAATTAATATAATTACATCTCATATTAATTAGTGCAATTGAATAAAGTTGTCACAAGTGCGTACCCTTTACTCTAGCTAATTGCATTTAAAAAAGAAATCCTTTATCCATCATCTGTTCACACATCCACTCGATTAGCTGGCAATCCATCATAGGCGTGGTACAAGTTGCCAACGGCACTCGCCTTTAGCATATAAAACCATATAGTTAATGTAAATGCGTTTTCTAAATTCATATCCGCACTCACGACAATCTTCCGTATACTTAGCTGAGCAGACACGCTTATGGCAAACATAAAAAATGATACTTGGGCGTACAAAGCAAAGAAAAAAAAAAATATAACCGGCTTCCTTTGCGCTTTTCGTTTGCCGCTTAGTCAGCCATTCACAACAAAAAAATGTGTATTTAAACGCACTAATTCAGTTATTGCTGAAAACTAAAAACTTCCCTTTTTCAATATTTGCATTTTTTTTATTTTCTTTTTTTTAGCTAGTAATTATTGGCGTATTAATATTGTATGTTTGTGCGTGCATATTTTGCTCATTTTTTTATTTTTTTTATTTTTCCTATTTGTTATATGAATATTTTTTCCTTTTTTTTGTTTTTTACTCTTTGTTTCGCTTCTTTTTTGTGTCGCTATTTTAACATTCCATTTTGTTAAATAAATTTTTATGCTTTTGTTATTTCATATCGGAATTCAAAGCAAAGTGCTTCCGCATCTTCGACTGAACTTAAGTGTCTACTGACTAATTTATTAATTTTTGTATAAATTTAAATAAAAAACTGATGCAGACAGACAATGATGACATGCATAAAAGCTTTACGTTTTATATTTTTTGTAAAATACTTTTTTCGCCGCGTTTCCATTATAATTAATAACTATTTTTGAACGCATCTTATACATTTTTTGTTAATTTTTCAATCGACCACACGACGCATGTCATTCACAAAAAAAAAATAAATAAACAAAAACATGCAAAAGTAAAAAAAAATAAATAAAAAGGAGCAGTAGGCTTTAAATCATGCAAAATGAATAAAATAAAATAAAATAAAATAAAATAAAATAAAATAAAATAAAATAAAATAAAATAAAATATTTATTTTATTTTATTTTATTTTATTTTAAAAAAGGCTAATTTTTAAATGTTTTTATTCGACTTCCGTTTATAGAATTCCTTTCTTACATATATAATATTTCTCATTGTCAATTAATAGCGCAGTTGACTCTTTACTATTTGAGCATTATAGTTTGTAAAGTCCCTGAGCTTCGTTATCTTATCTTGGGTGAACATTGTAAGTATTTATTATTGGAAATGTTGATAAATATATCATGGTAAAAAATTGTTTGATGAACATATTTCATGAGCCTCACCTTTTCCTTTTTACTTATTTATTGTAATTTATCTTTTAAACTGTTTTTAATAATTGTGTTATCAATGCTACAATAATATTGTCAACTTTCTACATGCATATTTATAAAAAAAATAAGCAATTTTGGCTGGTAATTTTAGGAAAATTTTTAATTTTATATTTGCACACACCTTAAGCTTGATTGCTTCATTTTATCTATTGCTTTACATTTTTATGCTTAATGAAATCGTAAAAATAAAATATTAACGTCATTTATAAGAAAAATATCAATTATGGTATTAAAAGCTTATGGACTAATCGAAAATTAATGGTGAAACCCCTTAAAAATATATGACACCTGCGAGTGATGGGATTGAGCCATCTGCATACATATAATATAAATGTCATATATATATAAAATGGTACTATCTCATTTTTATTTATTTTTTTAATTTTATTTTTTTTTTAATTTATTTTTTCGTATACTTTATTTTATTTCATTTCATCCTATATCATTTTATGTTATTTATATTTTCCTTTTTTAGTTTAATTGTTTGTTTTGTTTACTTATTTTTATTTCATTTTATTATAATTCAATTCATTTAATACTTCTTGATTTCATTTTTTTTTTCTTGCATATTACTTTATTTCACTTTTTTTATTTTATTTTAGTTTTTTTACTTTAGAATATTTTATTTTGATTTATATTTTTATTCCATTTAATCTGAACTATACCATTTTATTTAATTTTTTAAATTTAATTTATTTCAGTTTTTCATTTTATTTCATTTCAGTTTTTGTAAATATATTGAGTTTCATTATTTTATTTTTTTGATATTAATTTTATATATGAACTTATCTTCAAATATTCTATTGTATTTTTATTTAATTTATTTGTTCATTTATTTGTTTAACTTAATTTTTGTTTGTTTTATTTTATAATATATTATTTTAATTATTTTTGTATTCCGCTTAATCTCAACTATATCATTTTATTTTATATTTTTAAATATAATTTACTTTAGTATTTTATTTTATTTTAGTTTATTTTAATTCATCTTATTTTATTTTTAATTTATTTTATATATGTTTTATTTATTTATTTATTTTTTCATAAAAATCAATAAATCACACATTGACCGGAATGACCTTCTTCTTTTAACTTCCGTCTGGACACCTTTTATTTGCGCACGTGTAGTCTGTACACACGCTTAATCACGTAGTATTAAATTTTAATGGCTTAAAAATGCGCTTATGAGCTCTGCTTTATTTAATAAAGCAAATTATTTTAAATATATGTATACGCGCACGTGTATGCGTAAGAAATATTAACAAAAAATTAAAATTTGCAAACCAGTTTTGAGGGTGTTCTTTAAATCGCACGCTCAAGTTTTTATGCTTAGCAACAGTGATAAGTGAAAATTAACTATTGGCAATAAGCAATTTATTTTCTTATAGAATATATTAAGCTTTTGCAAATAAAATTAACAATTGAATTGTATATAAAAATGTGTGCAAATATGTATTTGTTTTATTAAACGCACATTTTTATGCATCTGTTTTGAGTATCCACTTAAATAGCCGGCATTTATTGTCGTCGCATAATTAGTGACGCCGTCTCTATAGTCGCCGACGCTGAAATGAGAGTGAAAGACATAAAAAAAAACTGAATAAAACGTGTAATAGAAATGCATAGCACGCACTGCCAAAAGTTAATACACTCACTTATGTGTATATATAAAAAAAATCAACATACTACAATATACATATATAGGAATAAACAGCATTTGTATGCACGTTGTTTATTTATATATTCTGCGCATGCGTAACATAGCAATTAGCATACTAGTCAAAGTATATATAACTAGGTATATACATGTATGTATATTTTGAGTGTATATATGAGTAATTTAAGCCAACAACTATTTAATTAACTCTGGTCAACTAACTATTTAGTGGAAGAATCGCATGCAACAAAATCATAAAAATCGCTCCGAAGCTCCCAGGTAAAAAAAAAAAAATAATAAAAATTAACATTTAAAAAACAATAATAAATAGTTATAAAAAAATGTGTGTGTTGCCAGCACGTCAAATGTGTGACGGCATCGCCAACCGAAATCAAGGTTCAGCGGCACAAACAAAACACACAAACATTGATAAAAATAAAAACTGGCCATCCGTAGTATGGCAATAAATTTCCGGAAATCCGTATTATTATTGTAAAACTCGGACCGATTTTGGAAAATGTGATTGAACTTTGACAAGTGCAGCGTTGTACTTGCTTTACGTACATAGATATGTATAAGTGTATGAATTCTAGTCGCTTCATTGCATTTTCTGGTGTCCTCACTCAATTGTTGTTGATCACCGCAAGCAGCCAAGAGCTTCGACGCCGCCAGCGGCAATTTGAAAAAAGCAGAAGCAAGCTAAGTTTTGCTGTATTTTTTACTTCTTTGGTTTGTAAAATATTTTTTCAGTTATCTTTTTCACACTTCGCTTTTCTCACGCCATTCGCTGGCTTAAATTAAAGTGCATTCATTTGCGAAAAATTCATGTCATACCGAAATGCACATGTATATGTGTCCACCTGTACGTACATATATTGATTTATATTTAGGCTCATATATAAATTTCTATATTTGTGTTTGTGCAAGGCGTTCATTGACCTCTCATTGACCAATGGCTTTTGTCATTTCATTTAATTTTAATTTTTAATTTTTGTTTTGCCAGCAGAAATCATTTTGCTGACTTTTGTTTATAATCAGCTACTTACATACATATGTGCATACGTATACACTTCGATGTGTGCTTGTATGTTTATTAAATACTGTGAAAATGCGATGTGCTATAAATAAGGTGCCGACACAATTTTTATCATTTAAGTAGGACATTCTGCTTGAATTTTCCTTTTATTTTTTTCGATATTCCTTTTAATCTTAAAGAATCTGTATTTATCGTAAATTCTGACTGATATTAAAATGCATATTTAATGATTCATAAAGTCGGTTTATAATGAGCGCTACAGCTCGTATTGTTTATTGTTTCATTAAGATTATAGCATATTATTTTAGGTCAAAATTCATTGACATCTATAATTCTGTAATCAGGGTAACAACTAGTTAAGCTAAATTTCATTCATTTCATTTCAGTTGAATGCCTATAATATATTTTATTCATTGTTTTTAATTTTCATTACAACCAATTAAATTTCTGTTTTAGTGAAAGAAGAAAAAGTAATATTATTCTATTTGGTTTATTTTACAATAAATTCTCACTTATTTAACTTAAAACCCTTAATAAAATTTATAGTTAAAATTTAGCATTATAAAAATCATAATTTTTCCTTTTTTTAGATGCCAAGACTATACTCAAAGGCGTCAGTGGTCGCTTACGCTCCGGAGAGCTTACAGCTATTATGGGACCGTCCGGTGCTGGCAAAAGTACATTGCTGAATATACTCTCCGGCTACAAGTAAGTGTTTTTATAAATAATAATTTAATTACTTTCCGACGATGGAGATCAATCCTAAAAGCCGATTATTTGAAACTAATTTAGTTAATTAATCTCTGATTACTCATTTTTATTCTAAAACAAATTTATTATTTCTAAATTGTATCATCCTACTAAATTTTTGGGAAACAAAATTCAGTTTTATTTCGAATAGTTACCTAATTGATTAACTAAAAAATTATGTAAAATTAGTTATATTTAATTAATCCTAATAACGCTAATGTTAAGTTGTAGCATATCTCTTTTGAATATTTTGGTATTGGTTAGGATTTATAGTCTGAGTTCGCGGCAGTATTGACGCTTTGCTAAGTCAACAGGGGCTCCCCTCACAGTGGAGTCCATTCGCCATTTCTATGGCGAAAACGAGGATGCGGTTTTCAGAGCTCTAGCATATGCTTAATATCTGGTGGGTGGTTATAATGATATTTTACAGGGCGGATAGTACAAAAAAAGTTAAAACCAAATTGGAAATGAGCTGATGGTAGTGGCTTAGGCATTAACCCTCAGAAGGCGGAGTCTGTTCTAATCCGAACTCTAGTGCTACCGCGAACGGGGATGAAAATCACGGAAAATGTGGGAGTTTTTTTTTTGGGCAAAACTCAGAGGAACGATTGCAGTTCGTTGGAGGTTTATGACATCCAAAACAGCTTTATGAGAGATGGTCTAATCTCCAACCCTTCATAATAATCATATACCGTTTCTAAACAAATGGATCACAACTCCATAACAGAATCGATAGTGGAATCAATTCAAAGGAGCTTGGTATTACCAAAACATGTGGTCTACCGAATCACTGTAACCCTCTTCATACAGAACCGGCATTGTCACTTATCTAAGTTTATTTATAACTATTTATATCCTCCCGGATAGTCAGGCAGTATGGAAAACCCTAGAATCTGCGAGAAAATTCTCGCAGATCATTTAACGTGATTACTAGGCACTACACTCTGAACCTAGCATGGCTGCCAGGGTGCAGTAGAAGAAGGTTGCAAGAAGGTTCATGTCGGAGTTTGGGCATGCCGCTCACAACTTGTAAGCTAAGAGTATAATCATTGATTACAGACACTAACTTAGGACGAAAAATTTCCACTTGTTACACATTGCTGGAAGCGTAATCTAGCTGACGTGGGAAAAAAATAAGAACAGGAGCTTGTCTCGCTTAATTAAAGAAATTATTTGAAATGATGTGTATTCTTATAGAACATTTCCAATTAGGACTTACACAGCAGTTGAAGAGAGGCGAAACTGAGAAACAGGAACTACTTCAGCCCAACCTTAACCTAATGTTGAAATTACCAAATACTAAAAAAAAGTATATAAATTTTGATGAAAAAAAAACGGTAATCTAAAGTTTTATGTGGAATATTTTTCGTTTAACTAAAATGTTTAGTTGCTTTGAAAAAACTATAACAAGAAATAGGTAAACAGCTCATACGCTAAGAACCTCACACATTTTTTTGGGCTAAACAGTAATGAGACAAAGGTTACCTTTTTGCATATTTTTTCTCACTTAAGCCTTCCAACCTTTGCAACGGCGGCAAAATAGAAAAACAGTTATTTGGTCTAATAAAGCATTCGTTAGTGATAATGTTTGTTTTTATGATTTTTCGCCGTCTCAACTAATTAAGCAGCAGATATGAACTTTGTTGCAAAGCTGTAAATAAAGAAAGGAAAAACAACGCGAACACAAGTGGCCACCTACCGGTAGAATGTACAAATGCCAAATAAAGGAATGACCAACCGCCTGCCTGGCAATAACAATAAACTCATTCAACTGTTAGCCTTGTGCAGCTCATAAAATAGCCGAGAAGATAATGTGCCATTGTACTACAGCTATTTACTTACTTTCATAAATACTTATATACACGTATATATACAACTTCATGCAAATATATAAACAAACATAATTGAAAAATAAATAGCAGCTGTAAAATTCAAACTTATCAATAAACCAATTTTTAACATACACACATACGTAAATATGTAGCAACTTACTTGGACTTGTATGACCAATTTTAAGTGTTTTTTTTTGTATTTTTTTTTAAGAACAAAGTCAACTATGTTCGCTATCAGCAAAGACAAACAAAAACAATTTTGAGTGAATTTGTGAATTTTTGTTTCCTTTGTCTATCGATAACTGCCGCACAAAGAGTCCAAAGGTTGACGATGGGCGTTGAATTGGTGTTATATTGTATTGTAGGCTACACACACATAGATATACATATACATATACAATCAAATGTAGAAAATATATCACTTATTCATATATATTTTTTGCTGGATATTCATCATATCAGCATACAAGCCAGCGATTTAATGCATGGCCTAACGATTCTTTAGTTGATAACTAGAATTCTACCCAGTAAGCAATTGAGTTGAGGCTCAATTGAAAACTGATACACTTTTCAAAATACTTTTTTCAGCTATTGCGGGCAATTGGTTACACTATATTTCTTGTATTGCAAAAAAAAAATTCTGCACTGAAAATAAAAAAGAAAACATTTATTTCCAAATTAAAATGAATTATGAATTTACCACGTTAAATCGTATTTCAGAGATACTAATTCAGGAAGTAGAAATTTTATCGAAAAATTGTTTCAAGAAAAACATTCATATAAGAAGGCGTTGTCCTAAACGACTGACGGATCAGCCTATAGTCCAAGCTTTATCTCGTAGGGATATCTGTGCATAACATAGATGTCCAATAAGAAAGGATTTTCCCAGAAATGATGGACGTGAGACCAATCTATTCGAAAAATTCAAAAGACCCTTTACCTACATGGAAAAGATGAGAATTGCTAGTTCCTCGAAGTAGACTTGAGCTTACATATACTTATATAATATATTTCGGGAAAAACGGAGTTTTGGCTTCATTCTATCATATTTGGAACACAGATAGATGCTTGTCTAGAATAATATATGAATGACTTTTCTTTAATGTAGATCTGAGAGAAACGTAGTTTGGTATATTGATAACATTTTGAGCTAAAAATGTAAAATGTAAATTTGGAAATGCAAACTTTTTTTAAATTTTCTCTGACTAAAAATCTCTAAAGCATCGAATTTAGAGATGTATATTACTAGCAAAAAATTGAAATAAAGTCGGAGACCTAGTAAAAAAAGATTTTTCTATAATATATAACTTCAAAACAATTAGAAAATAATATTGAACATCAAGTTGAGAATTACAATTTTTTTGAAAGTTTAGAGAACAAAAATAAAATAGTCGAAAACTCGTTTTCAAATAGTTAATTCGAAGGCCTGATAGGTAAGGGTAGCATTTTAAAGTAAATAAATGAGAACAATTTTAAAATGATTTAAGATAATTTTTTCATTTTCTACTTACAAGAAAACCTCAAAATAAAAGCTTAAAATTAAAAAAAAAATTGTAAATGATGACCGATTAATAATTTAAAGTATGTACTTATATATTATTTATAGTATAAAAGAAACAGTTTAGAGAAGAATTTGTGCCCGTGACTTGATACCAAAACAAAAATTTCAATTTTCAATGGCTAAGAAATTATTCCATTTTGATTTTTTTTCCATATATATATACATACATACGTTCATATGCACATTCATATTTTACCATCTGTTTTCCGCTTTTTTACACTCGGGCACGGCTTAGCTCTTTGCTTGACTCATATGCGCGCGTGTGAGCGTGTTCTTTGTTCTCGTTTACTTCTTGTTGGTTCCAACGCGAGAATGCTTCTTTTCCAAATAAAATAAAGCGTATTTACGTGCATTAACACCCGATGTTTATACGTATGTATGTGCAAATAAATACATTTGGACGTTCAGTCCCAACTTACTGTGGCTTTGTGCGCTGGCATTTCAGGCGTTTTGAGCTTGATTCTGCTTTAACACGGGAAATGTGAACAAGCTTGGACTTTAAACTTGTTTTGCGAAATGACACTTACAATTTTTGGGGCTGGATTATATATGTATTTATTTATTTATATATTTATTTATATTTTTTTTTCATTTCTGTTTTTCACTTGACCGACTGGAAAGTTTTTCTGTGTCGATAATGTTTGTATGATTATAAACAATTTATGCGTCGTTTGAAATAAATAATATTAGTATGCAAACAGCTGTAATAACAGAAATCATTATATTTAAACTTATAAATATGTATGCATAATTCAAAATTACATAAAGAAATAATTAATAGACGTCATTAAAGACGTCAGCGACGTAAGACAAACGTGACGACAATAGAAAAATATAAGAAACAAATCAAAACTTTTAAAAGAATTTAAAAAAAAATTGTAGCAAAACATAAAATAATCAGCAAATACAACATGTCGATTTGTTAAAAAGTAATCCATTATTTTTGCGTTAGATTGAAGACTTTCTTTAAAACAGTTAGAATTACCTGTTATTTGATTTTAAAATTGTCACCGTTTTGCCCGATAACTCTTTGCCAATTTTAAGTTAATGTCATTATACCTCCCTCATAAAAGCGCTTAACCCTATTGACCAAAAATTGGAACAATAGATTTTCACAGGCTTCTCTTGAAGTCAATTCCTCAGCAACAAACTCATTTTGCCTAGTCAGGAAGAGGTAGTAATCACTTGGTGCGTTGTCCAGCGTTCTGCCAATGAAACACAATTCTCTTCCTTATATCTAAAGCTGGGCATTGCTGAGTGACTGCTTCTGTAAGACGGTCCAATTTCTGTTCAGCTTATAGTAAATGATTCTTTTCCAATCCCGACACACTCACAACAAAACCTTTCTGACCGATAATCATGGCTTGGAGGCCATTTGTCCGGCTCACTGCCGTTCGGCCAAGATCATTTAAGTTCGGAAGATGGAAACTCGGTTCATGAGGGTTTTTCTATTCAACTAAGTATTATCCAGTGCTCATATGACGGTCAGACATCTTAATTTCCGGAACGAAATCGACGAAACCAAAGTTGACTGTTGCAGCATCAAGGCCATGATTGACTAACGTTTTCGCCTTTATCGAAGAAAAATTGTAGAATTTTATGTATTTTCTCCTTGCTAATGTCCAACTTTAACATGCGCTCAAACACTACTCAGTTAAGTTATCGACACTCCTCCCATTATCTTTTTCAATAGACCGAGAGATACAGATTGCTAAAGTTATCTAGTGCAAAAATAATGAATTACTTTTTACTAAGCCTAATGTTCTTAATCAAATCTTTAAATCAATAAATTGTAGTCTGTAAATCGAATATTAGAATTTTTCTTAATTTTTAACATTTAAAACTCAAACAAACAGCACTCAAATTCGCAAACAAGTCTCAAAATTTAATGAATTTAGTCAACTTTATGACACTCCTTACAGCTTTCACACACAAATAATTAAAAATAATTTTAAATATAGATTATTTCAATAAAATACAGGTTAAAGTACACATAACAAATGTTAGAATTAAAAATTGTGAAAAGAAAAATAAAAATAATTTCGTTAAAAAGTATTAAACACAAAAACTCGTTTAAAGGAAAAAAACGAAATCAAATGTTCTCTTCTAGTTCAAATACAGAAAAAAATAGAAACAAGAACACCATAAAAGCAAAAGTGCTTCAAGTCACATTGATTTGAATTCAGTGTATAATAAATTAGTAATTTTGCAGTTAAAGCGTCTGCTTTAAATTTTTATACAAATTTATACTTTTTATACGACTTTTGATTTTGTGTCTTTTTACTTTTCAATTTTTTTCCCCATTTAACAACGTACTTCGCCTCTACCCAATCACCTTTAGCTGATTAAATTAGCACATTGTATTTAAATTAAAACAGCGCAGCAGTTTTCGCTGATACAGCAACTGCCTACTACAGTCGGCAACACAAAATTGAGAATATTGAATATTTTATTGGTAGAAAAAAATGTTAAAGAAAAAAATTAAAGCTTTCTCAGTGAACTTCAACCAAAAGAAAATCAGTTACGGTAATCAGTAAAATCATATTTTCTTTTTCACTTTATTTTTGAGTACACGCCAGTATGTAGGCGTCTTCCCACAAAAATGCCTTTCTCTGACCTCAAAAAAGGTATTTTTTCAAGCAATCATATTATGTTACCCACTGCTGGCTATTGAGCCTTTCTTTGTCGTTTACTTCAGGCGCTGGAATGATTAAAAAAATATAAAAAAAAGAAAGCATTTTATACGCATACATACGTACCTAGGTATGTATGAAGCAAATAAAAGAGTCATAATAATAAGCACGTTAAGAAGATGCAAACTGCTGATGGTTGTCTTCGTGTTTCTGCTGAAATATGCACAATCGAACAAAGCATGTACTCGGCAAGTAGAGATTGCGATTTGTAAAAAAAAAACAAATAAACTAAGTAAATACAATACAATATTTCACAATAAAAATTTAAATGTTATTATTATTATTTTTTTTTTTTTGCTTTCTTCAAATCCTTGCAATTGCTGGATCACTGTAATGTCTTACAAGCAGAACTGTTGACCGTACAGAAGGTTGTCAACTACTTATGTATGTCAAATGGTACTCCCAGTGAAGTATATCTATATTTTCTCCAAAAGCTAGGCAGCAAGCAGTTTTCTTTGATCGTAGTATGGGCATCACGACACAGTAGCGTACGAATGAGCTTGCGGGGAACTGCAAATTCCATTCACTTGAAGAGTCTGGGCATGCCGTTCTTCACTTCTAAGCTCATGATCGGAGAGTCTTTCATCTTATATGCGATCACAGGATGTAATAGTCGCAGTTACTGCAATGTGCCTAGATTAATGCGGCCAACTTGGAACAAGAGAAAGTCGAGAGCTATTTCGCTAAAAATAAATTAGTTTTCCTCGATTGTGCGTCTGCTAACGTGTATTTAAGCACGCAAAAGGAAAAAACGCACCTAAAAATGACTTCTACAGGAGTTGTTGAGAGGAGAGAGAGAGCATGAGACCTTAAGATACTCTACTCAAGTTTGGAAGAGTAGGTCGAAATTTTTAGGGGTGGCAAGGTAGACGAAATAGCTGGTCCAAAGTTACGCACTGTTTTGCTAACTCCACATAGTGGTTTGAGTAGCGGGTGTAGTCTAAATAGTTTCCGCAAGGATTTCATAATGGGCCCGATTGGGGAGGGGGAGGGAAAGAATGATGTTGCTCAACGTACCCCTTTCTGCTAATATTGTCTCGATATTTGGCGTTAATGTTCCCAATGTAAGAGATTTTCTACCAAACTACAATATTATGAGATTTTCTCCAAGTCGAAATTCAACATTTTACAATTACAACAAGATTATTATTGAATAAAATAATTAAAAATATAAAAATAATTTTGATTTGTTATCCAAAAATATTAGAATACAGTTTAAACCGCTTTAAATATTTAATTCTGCACTTTTAAAGCATATATATTGTTCGAAATAAGTAATCGATTTAAAAATAAGAAATAATTATATCCAGAAATTTTGTGAGCTTAAGCAATTATAATTTAAATACGCGTTAGCTATAATTTTTCTGAAAAAATTTACGTGATTATTTGGTTTATGCGCAGCTCTCACGACACACCGGTACGTGCATTTCTTAGAAAAAAAAAGAGAAAAATAGTGTAACACGTTGTTTCAACGATGATATTTATGTCGCAGGATAAGAATCAAATTGTATTCCAGAAATACAAAAAAAGTGTAAAAAATGAATCACGTTCACAAAGCACTTACATATGTTATGAGGAAAAAAATTAACAATATAAAAATTTCAAAAAATACCAATTCTATTAACAGTCACAGAGTTATTATAGTCAGAGTCTGCAATCTAAATAAATCTCAGTTCAAACGCTCAGTAAAAAAAAAAAAAAAAAAAAAAAAAAAAAAAAAAAAAAAAAAAANAAAAAAAAAAAAAAAAAAAATAAAAAAAACAACCAAAAAAAAAAATCAAAATGTTTGCTAAAACATTTAATTATAGGCTAAGCATGGTTTTAGGCGCATATTTTATTAAGTGAGGTCTTAGGACGGTAAAGATGAACAGTTTGATATTAAGGAGCACACCTAATGTAATGGCCTAAAAAAATTGGAAATCTTTATTAAAAAAAATACTTATCAATTATTTGAAAAATTTTAAGAATATATTCATACATGTTTCAAGAATATACAGTGAAATTTTTTAAGAAAAATAATTAAATATTTTTTAAGTTATAGTCGATCTCCAACGGCGCGAAAAAAAGGTCCTTCACTGCTGCAGTGATTCCGGCCTTCTCTTGGGATGAAATCTAAAAAAAAAATTCTCTGTATGTGTGTATTGTGTGTACAAAGACCTACGATAAAAAAACATCAAAAATTGACAATATGGCGGCGTTTTAAAAAAAATTGTCGAATTTTACCCAAAATTTTGGTCATTTTTGACCTGCTGAAATTCGATATTTTGATCAGACCAAAAATCGATAGGGCATTGTACGGGGAACTATATATAGAACAAGTCAAAAAAATTCGATAATGATCGGATCATTTGTTTTTGAGTAATCACTGCAGCAAATTCGGAAAATGCTGTTTCGAGAAAAACGCGTTTAAAGATAAATTGATCGTTTTCACTCGTAGCTAATGCGACTCTCCAGCTGCCGAGCGGCTGCTCTTTAAATTGTTATAACTCAAAAACTATCTGAGATATCGATTTGAAATATTAATATGTTATTTTTAAAGGTTTAGTCTACCGAAATATGAAAAAAGATCGATTTTTTTGAAATTTCACACTAGTTGTGCCACTTAATAAAATAAATAATTATAAAAAATAACTGTATGGAATTTGAACTCATTTTATAGTTATTCTCAAAATAATATTCGAAAATTAGCGAAAAAATTCTTAGTTTCTCCTGTTATTCGCTTAAAAAGGCAATGGTTGCAACTCAATTGGGTAAAAATTTCGATTTAGTCTTATCAAGAATAAGATAATATCAATTCAATAAGAGCCAGATTAAGAGACAAACAATTTTGATTAAAGATGAAGGTTCTGAATATGCATTATTTCGAAACCATTTAAATTCCTTCGACCATTAATAGACACATGAATATGCGTTAAATTGCATGTAAATATGTATGTAGCTGTTGACAAATACGCCTTTGAATGTTTTTTTTACAAATAGAAATGCACTGAGCAATTGGTTTATAAATAGATATACTCGTACATATATAAATTGCTGAAAATATATGTATAAGATATATATTTACATGCAATAAACAACTAACACAACCCTCGTGTAGATATATTTACTCATACATATAAGCAAATGACTTATAAATAAATCAAAGATATTTACATTTACTAAATGACTATAATTAATAATTATTTCGCTTTCACTCTCTCTCTCTCTCTCTCTCTCTCTCAATTTCTTTAGAACGACAAATATCGAAGGTCTCGTCACGATGAATGGACGCGAACGTAATTTGAGCGTTTTCCGGAAATTATCCGCTTACATAATGCAGGATAATCAATTGTATGGCAATCTAACCGTCCAAGAGGCAATGACTGTCGCAACGAATTTGAAGTTGAGCGAGAAATTCGCAAAAGTGGAAAAGAATTCGATGGTGGGTAGAAATTTGAGACTTAAGAAGAACGAATTGATGTCCTTACATCCCTCATGATCACAACAAATATATAGCATTTCATTTTAGGATTAAGTATTAGTGCCGATATCAGAAAAATTGGGAGAGGGTTATACGACAAAGCTTTCCGATTTCGTTGAGTTTCGGGAGAATACCAAATTTGACGCTTTTCACAGATTTTTTTTACCGTAAACCTTATGTCTGAACAAATCGGTTGCATGAGGCTGATATATGGTATAGGCCTCCATGTAAATGTTTAATTTGCATGCTCTTTTTTTTATGATCCGAAATCTTTAATCTGAAAATTCTGTCGTCGCTTAACCAACTCAATTCGTCATTCTCACCTCATCGGTAGGGTGAAGGGTGTATATCGTCTTCTCACATACTTCAGACCATTAGCTTGGGTTATAGCATTTTATAATTGAAATATATACATATATAATTGTAACAACTGAAGTGATTTTCTCCTGAATAAACAAATATTCTAAAGTTTTGTATGCTGCCCACTCGGAGATTATAAGAAAATTCAACCTGTATTGTGTAATGATAAGAAATTTTACTCAAAAAATATATATGTATGTATACTCCAAATTTTTCACTTATGTATAAATATTAGCCCCTGTCTAGAATATTCTTTAGAAAATATAAAACTCGCTTTAATATTTGGAATTTAATTCATCATCAGTCTTTCTTAAACTCATTCTTCAACTCTTTTTAATAATATGAACTTTGAAATATTTTCCTTCAAAAATTCTGTTTTTTTTTTTTTTGCTCGAATGTCTTGCTAGAAATTTCCAATAATTATTAGCACAAGTTTCCGCTTCTACATAAGTTGGCATGCGAAAAAAAAAAATAATAATAATAATATTAATTAAACAACAAAGCAAACTTTGTTACCGGCTTTAATAAAAATCTGTCTGTGTTTTTAGTTGCCCACAGCATTTTGCATATTAAATAAAGTTTTTTTCCTATTTTCTTTGCATTTTAATAAATTAATAATTCGCGTTTCTTACGTCTGCTGCCAATTATGAGCAAGCAAATAATGAAACAACGAAACAATCATACAAAATATTTGTTAAATTTTTTTTTTTTTTTTTTTGCTCACTTGCTTCGAATGTTAGTATATTTGTACATGTCAAATAACTAATTTAGAAGAAAAACCAGTTCTTATGTTAAAACGACAAAAAATTTAAAGCAAATATACGCAAAGCGCTCACTCGAGAACATCTGCGCTGCCAGTTGGGGACGCGCAAAACGCCAGTGATGACCATGCGTTTTTTAAATTAAAAATATATGTATATTTCAATATATTTGTATATTTCAAGTAATTCGAATATTCAAATTACTACGCAATAGTAATTCAAATAAGATATCATTTATGATTATCTCTCCAGCCGTTTCATATGCTTTCAGTTGGTCTCGACAAGGTGCAAAGGTGCACAAAGCTTACTCATGACCAATTGCACCTGTAATATGAAGTCAACGAAAGGTTCACGCCCGATATCCATCCGATGTCGAATAATTCGGTAAAGCTCACTTTTCCTCCATCATTCAAAAGGATTTTAATGGTTATAGAACCCTCAAATTCGAGTTTAATACGAGGGACGGTTTTTGTGTTCGCCGCATGGGAAATTAAGAATGCTAATAATATATTCACCTGCAAGACGTATAAATTTTTCAAAATTTTACAATTAATATATTTATACTCTCATAAAAAATGCTTCTCTTCATCTTCAAGATACACCGAAACTGCCCGCTTGACTCCTTCTTTAAAAAATGTATCAACTGTCAGCTGAGGGGCTAGCTCTTTTATTTTTTTTTATATGACCATTTCACTCGCAGTCAGGCTTGCGCTATAGGATGAATGATTCAAAATCCTCTCATATTGAAGCGCAGTCTTCTAGATCATAATATTCCTTCCAAGTGTTAAAATATTGTCGCTATGAATTTCTTAGCTGACTGACTGTAACTTCTTGGGAAGTGTTGTGGACTCTTTAGGGCAAATTTCGTATCCAGCAAGCAACCATAAACCATTATTTGGGAAAACGTGATCATTCTTGTTAACTATCTTGTGCTGACCTTTGTCATGTAAAGATGATCGTACAGAATCGGACACTTGAAGCCTATATTATCGGCAATTTGACTTTCAACTTAATTCCCAAATCACTTAATTACCTCTCTATATGGGTTGGTAAATATTAGTTCTGCCTTTTGGTCTCAAATGAAGTTGTTAGTATATTTTAAATGTGTTCGGAGCTTAAGCGTAGAATCAGCATATTTTTAGGCGCTTTATTACTTAGTAACGATGATGCCAAAATTTTTTGAGAAATTTATCTACAATAAATGCTTCAAAAATGGAATTTAAATTTCATCTGGTCTTTAATCCTAACGATAATACATTTTACCTGCAGGTTAAAGTTAAACTAAATATTTACCTCCTCTTCCAGATCGACGACATCCTGCTCACACTCAGTTTGAGCGAACACCGCAACACGCTGACCCGCAATCTATCGGGCGGTCAAAAGAAACGTCTCTCTATCGCATTGGAGCTCGTCAGCAACCCACCGATTATGTTTTTCGATGAGCCCACATCCGGCCTCGACAGCTCAACTTGTTTCCAATGCATACATTTGCTCAAAATGCTAGCTGCTGGTGGACGCACCATCATTTGCACCATACATCAGCCGTCCGCACGTCTCTTCGAGATGTTCGATCAACTGTACACGCTCGCCGATGGTCAGTGCGTCTATCAGGGCAACACAAAACAACTAGTGCCTTTCCTCTCCACACTTGGCTTGGAATGTCCCAGCTACCATAATCCAGCGAGCTATGTTATTGAGGTGGCTTGCGGTGAACATGGTGATCACACACGTAAATTGGTGGATGCAATCGATAATGGCAAGAAGGATATACGCACCGTAGCCGATTATGAGGGTTTGAAGATGCGCAACGATTTGGTGAAAGTACACAATTTGAAGGCGATTTTGGATAAGAATGCAACGAATGCGTCTAGCGGTAAATACGAAGACAATCTGACGCTCAACAATGGCATTCTCAATAGTAATTTGGTGAATGATATCGTGAAGAGCTCAAATGTGTCCGCAGCTGCAGATAGTGCTGCCGCCACGGGCGCGGTGGTGAGCACGAATGAGAAGGGTGATGCCATGATTGATGTAGAAAAGGCGGATAACTGTACAACGGCTTTGTTGTCGGGGGAAATTACATCACCCGAGCGTTATCCCACATCACAATTTCATCAGTTCTGGGTAGTGCTCAAGCGTACGTTGCTCTTCAGTTATCGTGATTGGGTGAGTGTAATTATGCGTGTGTTGCATGTTTTTAGGCGCAAACTAATATTGCTCGTGTTCTCTCTCTACAGACTCTTATGTACTTGCGTTTCTTTGCTCATCTCCTCGTTGGCTTCCTCATTGGCGCACTCTACTATGATATCGGCAATGATGGTGCCAAGGTGCTGAGTAATCTGGGTTTCCTCTTCTTCAACATGTTATTCTTGATGTATACCTCGATGACCATAACTATACTGTCATGTGAGTAGACGAATTGTGAGCTGTTAAATTTTTAATTTAAAATGTGAAATTTTTTCAGTCCCGCTTGAAATGCCGGTGCTACTCAAAGAGAACTTCAATCGCTGGTACTCGCTCAAGTCCTATTATCTGGCCATTTCTGTTGCTGATCTGCCCTTCCAAGTAAGTGCACGTGCGCATACTCACCTTTCCAATTTAATAAAATTTTTCCACTCTACTCTCCCTACCAGGCCATTTTCTGTGTTGTGTACGTGAGCTTAGTTTACTACTTCACTTCGCAGCCATGGGAGCTCGCCCGTTACGGTATGTTCTTGAGCGCTTGCCTGTTGATCGCGTTTGTCGCGCAATCGGTGGGTCTCGTTATCGGTGCCGCAATGAATGTACAAAATGGTGTCTTTTTGGCGCCCGTCATGTCTGTGCCCTTCTTGCTCTTCTCCGGCTTCTTCGTCTCCTTCGATGCGATACCCATCTATCTGCGCTGGATCACATATCTCTCGTACATCCGTTACGGTTTCGAGGGCACCGCTTTGGCTACCTACGGCTATGCACGTGAAAATTTGAAATGCTTCCAGATTTATTGTCACTTCAAGTCGCCACTCACCACACTGGAGGAATTGGATATGGTCGATGCCAACTTCACGCTAGACATTGCGGCGTTGGTCGTGATCTTTGTTGTGCTGAGAATTGCCGCGTACCTCTTCTTGCGCTGGAAGCTGAAGACAACGCGATAAGTTTCAGTCAACAATGTGAAGTCTTCTTTTCGCTTTTCTATCTTTCGGCAAATTTGCTATGGATTCTTATGCTTAATATTGGGTCATAAGTGTTTGAAATGCATGACAAATTTGCTACTCTCGTTTTAATTGAATAAGTGATAATATATAAATATGTATGTAAATGAAAAGTGATGTAATATTGTTATTTTTTACAATTCCATGACCGTTAGATAAGTTGAAACTTTCCGAGTTGTGTGGCAATGGGTTAGAAAACAGTTTGAAAGCACACATCAGAGATACAATTTTTAAACACACACATGTATATATACTAATATACTATAGATGGGCATATATATATGGAAAGAGAAATCAAATTTAGCATCTTCAATGCCGCTACGCCAATTTATACAAATACAAATACATTTAAAGCGAATTAATGAACAATTTTTTTTATTTTTATTATAAACATTTAAAATATATCATTAGCTTAAGCAATGTATTTACACTTAGAGAGAATAAATAAATTTACTCTAACGAAAAACGATTAAAAAGCTGCTATTTTTTTTTTAGTAAAACAAATAAATTACAACTCAGAATCAAAATCAGTTGAGAAAAAACAAAATTTTTTTTCAAAACTTTGTATTGAAAAAATATATATACACATATATATATATATTTAATAGCTGCCTTTGTAAGCTAAAACAGAGAGAAATATGTGAAAAAGAAATGTGAATTTGTTATGTAATAACTTTTTTATCGATGTGCTGCATAAATAATGAAAACAATTTTTGAAAAATTTTGGATGTAATTTTTTTTTATATTTGCTGTAAACAGCACTTTAGATGACAAATAATAATAATAATTAAAAATTATACATTATGAAAACACAAAATATTTACATATATTTAAATACGTAGAAAAGAAAAACAAAGTTTGGTAGTGGTAAATATGTTTCTACAAAAATAAAGTGAGCTACGAGATTTGTTTTTATAAAAATCTCGGTTGCCAGTTCATTTACGAAGTATTCCACTGCGTATTTTTTTATAAATGGTGTTTTTACGGATACATATATTTGTATATTTAATCATAAATATTAAGCGTATTTATAGGAAATAAATGAAGCTTTACAAGCAATTTAAAATATGTGGAATTTTTGTGTAGAAAATATGAGTATTGTTTATTTATAGCAATAACAAATATTAATAATAATGTATATTTGTGGAAACAAAGAAACTTGTTGTTTTTACTCATATGTTTCTGGCATATGCTGGCAAACATCACATAACTGCTATCCTTACTGCTCTCACAAGTGTCAGCGCCTAAAAATATGACATATAAAGCAATCTTAAAAACTCAGGGTAAAGCATTAAATATGAATTTAGGCAATTAGTTTAGTCAGCTTTGCGATTTGTGTGGCATAGTTTTAAACACAATTTTTATAACAGCAATAAGACAAGAAAAATTACTGGGAATCAATGAAAGCTGGGCCCTCTCTTCCTCATATAGTAATTGGTGTTAAGTGCAAGAGCTTTCAACAAAATAAAAATACTTTCTAGTTCGTCTACAAGGCCAAGGCGCTACCCATAGATGATGAAGACTTTGTTCAAATCCTTGAACAGTTAGTTCTGCTTTTTCCAGAAATAAGGTAGCCTGTGGCTTAGTTAGTAAAAGAGTGCAAGACCAAACAAACAGTCTTCGCAACCTGGAAATCCAACGAAGAATCACTCTTGTCAACATATGTAGGCTACTTTCAACTGAGTACACCGCATACGATGGAGCGATGAGTGCTACGAGTTAAATAGCGACACTCAAATAGTTCTGCGCATAAAGAGAGAATCGTCCGAATGGATGAAAGCACCCTAGCTCCGGTACTCGCTAGGGAAAGCAGAGCAAGAGGAAGACCTCCATTCCGTAGGAACGATCATATAGAGAGCGAAACGAGGGAAGAGGGCTATGTTTGCATAAGCGTTGGCTTCACCAATAAAAAGGAAGAAGTAGAAGATCTTTTCATTAAGTGAAATCATGTTCCCAGTTATAATGACCGATTTCGAAAGAACAAAGCATCAATGGATAGTTCTAGGCTACATGCGGGACAGCCAACGCGGCTCTTATGAACGAGTGGGTCGTCGTGCAAACAATAATATTATTTTCGAGCCCCAAATTTCCCTGTTTCGATTCAAATTTAAAACGATAAATCCAAGTCTTTTCCTCCAGTAACAATTTGGTTCAAAACTCATCCCTTTCTTCATTAAAGAGGTCCAAAAATGCAAGAAAAGTCTGAAAACACTATTGTTTTTTCGGGGGCGTGAGAATTCCCGGCTGTCAAGATGATCGTGCAGGATTTTAATAATGGCTAGATCGGATACTCCAACCATTTCTGCGAGTTGTTTTTCATTCAGGGAAGCGCAGCTGAAGACAATTTTTCCAACTTCTTGAATAACTTTTGGCATGAGATTCTCGATGATACTGCATGGATTTGGGGCATTTTCAAGGGATTGTCTTTCTTGTTTAAACATGCAGTTCCAGTTGTACTTCATGGATTCCTACTGACAACAGGCACCGTAAACCAATGACAACTCATTTATTATAGTCGCAACTAATTTACCTTTCTTGGTAAGAAACTTCATAACGGCACAATGAGTTTTTCCACCCAGGACACAAGTTTCTATAATATTGACTGTTGGCTGGATCAGAACTCGAACACTGGCCTTCCAAATACTAATACGCACTACTGACCACTTGTCAATTATGGCAGCCACGGTTTAATAATTCAAGAGAGAGGATGCTACAGTTTATTCTCCCACCAAAGAGCTTCAATATCTTCCAAAATGATATAGTTTCTATAAAGATAACGAGTCACTGAGCGAGCAGTCCTCGAGAGAAAAAGGAAAATTATGACTTTTTTAATGCTTTTGAGAAAGTTGTTACAAAAGAAGACTTCCTGAGGGGTCAACTATGTAACCTTATGAGGTAACTCTACGAGTTCTGTTCTTGGCCTAACTAAATAAGGGATCTAAGTTTTCCAAAGATTAAAACAAGATTTTACCGTTGGCACAATTATTCAATGTAAGTGTCTGAAAACTCCACTTGGGTTGTATCCTACTAAGGAAAAATATAATCAAAAGTCAGTTAGGGATAAATCGTAAATAAAATACTATATAAGTGTGACTCGAGTGGGTTTCACACACAGGTAAGTGTAAAGAAAAACTATGCTTTCAAATACTTTAACCTATCGAAGTAGTGACTCTTCTTAAGTTGGACTCTGCACATCAGTTCGTTGGACTGATCGCTGCGCAGCGACAGTTTTGCCAACGGGGGTTTTGTACAGAACAGAAAACCGTCAGTTCTATCTCGAAATTACATTTTCCCTTTGCCTTCTGCCCACCGTAAATTGCATGAATGCAGCCAAATTTCAAGTGAACGCTTTAACCTTCACTTGAACTTGACACTACAAAGAGAATCTTTCGACAAAGCTGTACCTGATGCACGAGCAGCTTCTTCTCTAACAGGCAATTAGTGTAATAAAACTTGACATCTGCACGATATGCTCTGAGTATTCAGCAGAAAAATTTTCGAAAAATAAGAAAAAGCATTCGATATCAGAGTTCAAGTCAATTTACTACAAAATAACGGTGCGTGCAAAGCATGAGAATTGACAAGCCAACTGACATTTGCAACTTGTGACTTTTTACAGTTCAGATGCAATTAGTCTCAGACTAATTGGTAAGGAAAGCGAATGCGCACGTGTGTTAGGCTATCTATATAAGTAAGAATATGCATTTGCTTTGATATGAAATATTTCTAGATAATATGACATATACTTGCTTACATTATATAACATAGGGCTATCTATTTCGTGGTTTCAAAAGTGCAGAGCTTTATTTGACAGCTGTCAAACAAAACATGTTTTGTTGTAGTTAAAAGTCGGGCGTTTCTGAAAATGGATCGCCCAGCACCACGCGACGCGTTCAAATTTGTTAAACTTACCTACCTACCTACTACAAAAATGGTGATTAATGAATTTTTAAGAGACTGGGTTGGTTACAGCAATATCTGTAACGTTTCGCCTCTTCCACTTCAAGTGAAAGTGTAGCCGAAGACCTATTTGTTCTCGATGTTCTCAAAAGCTGGGACTTTCCGACGTCATATTTCGGCGCCTTTTTCACTTGGACTTACACTTCGATCCGTATAAAGTCCAGCTCACACATCAACTGAAACCAGATAAGGATTCACAACCCCGTTTATACGTGAATTAGGTGTTTGAACAAAATGCAGTGCACGGCAATTTTTCGAACAAAATTTTTTTCATAAACGAGGCACATTTATCACTCGGGGTATAAATTCATAAGCAAATTCGTCCTAGGCTCCTCAAATAGCCAAAGAGATGTTATTGTGCCCACAAGAATATTATTGCCCGATGTGTTCTTTGATGTGATCTTCGAAAACGACAACCACGAGACTGTTACCATGAATTCGGAGAGTTATGATCGTGTGAAAATCGACTTTGTTTGGCTTACGATTGAAGAACATGACTTGGACAATATGTAGCTTCAACATGATGGTGCCACATGCCTCACAACACGAGAGAATGTGGCTTTATTGCGATAGAAATTTACCGGCGGCGTAATCTCTCTTCTTGGCGACGTCTTCGTTGGATTTTTTTTGGTAGGTCTTATGCGGATAAACTTTCAACACTTGGGTACATGAAAAAAACAAACTTTGGTCAAGTTAAGGCTGAGATACCGATCGAACCTCACCTCAAACGACTCGAAGTTTGGCAAAGTTCGCCAGGCGGTCATTTCAATGATGTAGTGCTTCACAAACAAGTATAATGCCAAGATTCCAACTTTATTATAAAAAATTATTTTAACCTCATTTTATTTACTTCTATATTCGAGACCACAAAATGTATAACCCTGTGTATGTATGTTTGTACGTATGTATGTAAAGCAAATGCAAACGTCCTTATTCTACCGCGAGTTGGGAAATGTGTAGTCCACACCATAAAAAGCTGCGACTCAATTGTGCAGAGGGGCAGCTTTAATGTAGAGGTGTGGAGGTGTAGATGTTTTTAGTGTTAACTTAAATTGATCTAATTGGGCTTTCGATTCAATTAACTCATTATTGAATATTACTTTCTTGCCATTATTATTATTGAGACCGCATGCAATGCATTTATTAAATATTTATAAATAATGGGATTTAATTGGTTATCTCTGGGAACACTCAACTAAGCGACTAAATGTCAGTCTGTCATAAGGTCCACACTGTTTAGACAGATTAAAAAAAAAAATAAAAAGTAAAAAATAGACTATTTGTTAGATGTTTTAATTAGTTGGCACGTGGCTCCTTGACACTAATCCGAATCAAGAGCTCGCAATACTGATGATACTTAATTGTAAATCGGTTAAATAATTAAGCAAAGAAAAACGAAGCGAGGTCCCCACGCAGCGAAATTTTCTTTTACACTTACCTGCTTGCGAAACCCTCTCGAGTCACACTTTTTAATGTATTTAATCTACGATTGATGCATCTCACTTTTTTGTATTTTTTTTTTCTTGACAGGACTAAAATTATGCATTATTTTCAGACACTTACATTGAAACCGGTGAACTCTTGAATTGATCTGTTGAACAATTAGATTTCTTAAATACTTAGTAAAACCTATGATCAGTCATCGAAAGTCGCTGCTCTAGTTTTTAATACTTGGGTTGGCTTGAACTAGTTGAACCCTCTTGAAGTCTCATTTAAGCGACGGAATGCTTACGACAAATCAATGAGTTATAATTTAATGGATCCTGTTCGGAAAGGATACCCAAGGAAGTCAGTCGGTAAGTCATCTCGGCCATATACATAAGTGAGGTTTTCTTTTTTCTGACAGTTTCAAATAGTCTTATAAAGTATAACCGTTGAAAACCGGGCTTCATTTCACATTTCTCTGTAAGCCTGCTCGCTCAGTGCTTCGTTTTCTTTATAAAAAATAATTCATCTTGGAAGATACTTGAGTCCTTTGACGGTTTCACTGATCTTGTGACCTCTGGTGGCCTCCCGAGTGTTTTTATGACATGAAATAAAAGTTTCTCATAAAAAACCAACAGCCGTTCGGGGGCGGCTTAGTATAAACTGTAAGTTCCTCCATTT